AAGTATTCTGTTAGAACTCAATGATTATCCTAATTATATTTTAGATTTTTTATATTTAAAATGAGATGTTTATCTTGTATTTACTTGTGTTTATCTACGATTAGTTACATGAATTCAGATATGAGATGAAATCAGATAGGGATGAATGTGTTTAAGAGTTTTACCCAAATGCTTTATAAGGTAGTATATATATATATATATAACAATTGAATGTATATTTATATATTTGATAGATAAATCACACAAAATCTTGATCAAGTTCAGACCAAGACCAACGTTTTATTTATCTTAACATTAATTCACTTAAGCCAACCCCATCATCTCTAATAAGCTTGGCTTATTCTAATTACAACCATACATCTAATTCCTGGAACTTATTATCATCGAGTGAGCGAGAGACGTAATCGATCGACATCTAGACGTCGAGATAGAAAAAAGCAGTGACAGAAGCAATATTGCCTCCAGCCTGGATGCTGACTTTTGTAGAATAACCTCTCCAACTTGTTTGGGATTCGGTACCAGAAGCCATCAGTTTTTCATGGATTTCATCCCAGTCGCAGTTCTCAAAGTATCCTGGATCGTTCATCTCACAATAAGCCTGCATGCATGCAACATATATATATATATAGTCAGGTTAAGGTTCAAGGAAAAACCGTAAAGAAATGGAAAACGAAAGAGATGATTATAGGCTTACAGTGTTGCTGTTTCCTCCACAATTTTTCCAAGGGTTGTTCCAAGAGATCATGAACTCAGAGCAGTCCTTAATGCCGTACACAACAGCCCCAACCGATCCTTGGCGGTTACCATCATGCTCGAAAACGCCCCATTGCCCGTTCAGAATGATCACCTTATACCCCCTGGAAGCATTTCCTTCCCAATCATGCGAAGTCACGTAAGTCACGGTTTCACCGGTGGCGTTGTAAACCATCCCAAGCGTGGTGTTAACGGTGGCCACGTTCCCCCCTCCTGCAGCCACTTTCCGAAACTGGTTCGACAACTGCAAAGCCTGGTCGAGCTTGCCATCGGCGTTCTGGTTGTTCTTAGCGGCTAGGGCCCGTTGCGTACGAGTTCCGTGAGTGATCGGTTTGCCGAACACACGGACCGCGGTTGCTGCCATTGATGTGTTTAGTTGGTATTGCAAAAGAAGAAAGGATTGAAGGTGTGGTTTGGGATATGGATGGCATGGGCNAATATCTGAATTCTGACTTTCTTTTAAAGATTCTGTATTTTTTTGGTTAAAATAAGAAAACACGGACGGGGACTCTAATTTTAATTCAGTTCAATATAGCTCGGTGGGCGATGGCTTAATCATGGTTAGGTTATGGTACGACACTGGCCGACCTAGTCTTGGCAACAACTTATAACATGGCTTAACTGTTCAAGTTATAGTAGTAAATCGGCTAGAGTTTAACCAATTCTTCTGTATTTATGTTGGATTTTATGGATGGATTTGAATTTAAAATCATTGGTGTGTTTGGTTTCTATAATTTGGAATGGAATTGAATTCCATTATTTATAAATAATTTATTGAAAAATTATAAAAATAATTAAGTTACATTTTTATTAATCGATTATTACAAAACACACGTGTTTAGTATTTTCTAAAATCTTATTGCATACAATCTTACAAAATCTCATGAAATTCCGAACACCTCCTGATGTAGGATTTCAGTTAAATCTTAGGATTTTAAATCCGAACAATCCAACAAACTAGATATGGGATTGGAGTAGATTTGGAATCTAAATCCCCCTAAATACATTCCATTCATGCAAAACAAGCGAGGACCTTAGAGAGTGATACAGGTTTCAGCCTCTACTGTGTAGCTCAGTTGGTATAGAGATGAAACCACTTTGTCCAAATACTACGACTACCGGTTTCGAATGCTAGTATTGAGAAACTGGAATTTAAACATGACGCAATTAGCACAAAACGATTAACAGTTATGTACCAAACTCTAACAATCAGTAATTAGGCATCGATCAGCTAAACAAGTTTTATTAATGAATAAGCCCTAACAATTAAGAAATTAGACATCAAACATCGTTTGTTAATTAACAGTCTCTAACAATTAACAAAAAATAAATCGACCTTCACGAGCGTTAACTTGATAAACGATGAAATAAGTATTGTTAATTAACCAACCTAATAATTAATAAATAAATAAAAATAATTTAACAATAAACAAATAATATATCCAGGGTTGGGTTCACGTGAGACGAAAGATTTTTCGTGAGACCCGTAAGACCAATTTATATTCATTGATCAACTTTATAAGCTAATGATTTAATAGTCTAAAGTTGCACGGTGGCAATTTTGTGATTATTGAGAATTCTCGTAACAATTTTGTGATTATGAATGTTTAGATTGTATATCTAATCCAAAGGTTGAGAATTGGTCTTACGAGTCTCACGAAAAACCTTTGGATGTAGTATGCAATATATATATATAGGGTTGGGTTCACGTGAGACCAAGGGTTTTTCGTGAGACCCGTAAGACCAATTTATGTTCATTGATCAAATTTATGAATTAATGATCTAATGGTTGCAAAGTTGCAAGGTGGCAATTTCGTAATTAGTGAGAAATCTCGTGGCATTTATAAATGTTTAGATCTGACGATTGTAAATCTAATCCAAGGGTTGAGAATTGGTCTTACGGGTCTCACGAAGAACCATTGGTCTCACATGATCCCAAGTCTATATATATATATATATATATATATATATATATATATGATAAGTGAATGTTTGCAAAATAATCTGATATATATCTGCTTCTGATTCCAAAAAGAAACCCAAATAACTTGGTAGATTTTAAAACTTAGAAAGCAAATTGTTGATTGAACTCAAGATAGAAAACTTATGAAACTCAGATTCTAATAAATATATACAATTGCTATATATATATATATATATATATATAGATAGATAGATAAATGACACAAAATCTTGATCAAGTTCAGACCAAGACCAACGTTTTATTTATCTTAAGATTCAGCTTGGCTTATTCTTATTACAACCATACATCTAATTCCTGGAACTTATTATCATCGAGCGAGCGATCGATCGAGAGTCGACATCTAGACGTCGAGATAGAAATAAGCAGTGACAGAAGGAGTATTGCCTCCAGCCTCGATGCTGACTTTNCTCTCTCTCTATATATATATATATATAGGTGGAGGTTCAAACGAGAACACCTTCATTGTACGAGAACGTGAAAACATCCTTATCACATGTGATAATACGCGTGAGGGGCCGGACCTGGTAGTATGCGGAAGACGTGTTCTACGACTTAGGTCGCACGAAAGGTTATCTGCGTCTATGATTTAGCATCACATGTGATGGTTTTGATGGATTATAGTATCATATCAACAACACCCTTATCACATGTGATAATACATGTGAGGGGGCTTAGTGGTGTACGGGCGACTTGGCCCGCAACTAAGATCGCGCTGAAAATCACCCGTGTCTCTGATTTAGTATCATATGTGATGGAATAATAGTATCACATATAATTGTTTATTGTAAAAAAATGTTCTCGTGTTTTCGTAAAATAAAGGTGTTCTCGTTTGAACCATTCACTATATATATATATATATATATAGGTGGAGGTTCAAACGAGAACACTTCCATTTTACGAATGTAAGAACATCTTTATCACATGTGATAATACACTTGAGGGGACTTGGTGGTGTATGGATGTCGTGCCTTGCGACTTAGTTCGCATCAAAGGTCGTCTGCGTCTATGATTTAGTGTCACATGTGATGGTCTTGATGGATTATAGTATCATATAAATAACACATTTATCACATGTTATAGTGCATGTGAGGGGGATTACTGGTGTAAGGGTGACTTGGCCTACAACCTAGATCGCGTCAAAGGTCATCCACGTCTCTAATTTAGTATCACATGTGTATCATATGTAACCGAATAATAGTATCACGTGTGATTATTTATGGTAAAAGGGTGTTCTTACGTTCTCGTAAAATGAAGGTGTTCTCATTTGAACCCTTTATATACACACACACACACACTACAACAAAATTGGTTTTATAGAATCTAATAAAATACTTTATAGGGTTTAAGTTTATAAGATTAAACCAAAAGGTATCATATCTAAAAGTGTTACAATAAACGTCATACCAAAAAGTGTTTCCTAAAAAAAGATGTTACAATAGGTTTATAGGACATTTTTAACATGTTTTTAGGACGTTCTTAAAATAAAGTATCGTATTAGCTATTTTATACGACAATATTTGAAAAAATGTTCTATAAAAAGATAGTTTATATCACACTTCTCAAAAGTATCCTATAAAATAGGTAATATGAACCAAAAGGCCTTTGGCTTAGTCATTGGCTTCCTAAAAGGTCATGGATTCAAACATCACCGAAGGTCAGGAGGGTGTATGAATTTATTTGTTTTATTTGTCATATATAAATATTATATACTTCAAAAAAAAGTAATGTGACATTTTATTTATAAAGCATGCTAAAAAACTTGTTAAAACGCTCAAAAGTATTTTATAAACATATTGTAACGCTTTTAGATAAAATCTTTTATAGTTTGATCTTATAAACTTATGTTCTATAAAGTATTCTATTATGACGTTTAGACATTTTAGGCGTCTTATAAAGCCAAATTTGCTGTAGTGGGATGTGGCGGATATCCCATCTGCTTTGGGTTCAATTCCAGACTAGAACAATTCTGACCACTGAGTTTATTAAGGTTGATGTCTTATAATCGCAATTTTGAGATTAGTTTGGGCATAGCTCGAGACACCCTTCCAAAAAAAAGTAAAAAAGTTAATTTTTGGGTCCTTCGTATAGGTCGTCTCGAGTTTTCGTAAGGTTATTTATTGGGGATAATTTCCACAATACCATGCACAAAAGTCTCAAACCGAATGCCAAAATATGCAACCCATCAACCGAACGTGTTCAAATATACCAACAAGTAGAAAATGCAAACCAAATCGATACTCAAACAATGTAAATGCAAACAATCGCAAAACGGCATCGTATGCAACAATTTATCCGACAAATGCTTACCATGGTAACAGTCGTCGTCCTTACTTGATTACCGGGTAAGACTCTTGATCCTTGTCTCGCTCTTACCGGGTAAGACTCTTGTTTCTTGTCTCGCTCTTACCAAGTAAGATTCTTGATCCTTACTATATTTATCCGGTAAGATAATGTGACTTGGTAAGCGCTTACCCTAATAACCGTTTGATAAACGACCCCTAAGTCATGCGGTAGGTTGCCTAACACAGCACCAACACAAATTATAAACGTTCTCACAACAATTGATTTAATCAAATTCAGTGACTCCGGGCTATCTGCAAAACAGGTGGTTATCCTGGGATTAGTAAGCACGCATAGCGAGTTGGATATCCAGGTAAAAAAAATAGGGATGAGATCGCGAGAGAACTCTGAAAAATAAGAACCATAATACCAATTGAATTAAAAGGTGGTCATAACCACTTTTTTTAAAAGAAAATACAAATATTTCTCCTTAATTTTTAATTTGAAATAAAAAAAAAATTTGGAGCGAAACAAATTACACCAAAAAATGATCACTTTATTATTTTTAATTTGACATGACATCCATTTTGATATAATTTTTCATCCATTTTTTCGTAATTCTTCGGTTCTTTTTTTTAAATTCTCTCTGAATCTTTTTTTTTTCTTTTGAAGTATATAATATTTATATATGACAAAATAGAACAAATAAACTTACACACTCTCCTCACATTTGGTGAGGTTTAAACCCCTAACCTGCTATGAGGCCATATGAACAAAAACAAAATAAAAAAACCTTATGGGGTTAACTTAACTGTCAATAAGGCTTAGGTCTTTGAATATTTTCCGATCACCAGTTCAAGTTGTGGAAGGCTACTGGGGATTTTCCTGACTGTTCTCTAGGATCCCAAGAATTAGTTGAGGTACGCACAAATTGGACCAGACATCCAAAAAGGAATTACTTTTTGGCTTTTCATATGATAACGAATATGCTTTTATTTCGCACCATAGAATATTTATTCCGATGGATTTTTTCTGTAGGAAGTGCTGAAAAGAATGATAAATTTGAATCAATGTATAAGTTTGCAACATTAAAATCGGTCACAACTCATTATAG